ACTTCACCTAAAGGCCTTAAATACAAAAAAGTAATGGGGGTACAGCTGACAGTTCATACAATTCAAAAAATTGGGTACTAAGGACCATTGTTGCCTATACAACAAAAATTGAACCCCTATACAAAAAGCTGATCATGTTCATTCAAGCTGGTCTTGGTGGCCTAAACCCAGGTGTGGCCACGAATGCCATAAGCCTGCTCCTTGTGCCACTGCTTGTTGCATTGGCAGTTTCAGTTGACAATTGTTGTGCTGGTGGTGGGGCAGTAGGTGGTGGGCTGTTGCCCCTAATGGCTTCCTCAGCTGCCTGGGACTGCCTTGAAGGTCTTCCTTGACTCAGAGGGATCTCCTCTTCATGTCTTGCTGCTATGTTGACATTAATTGCATGTGAAGGTGCTGCTGCTCTCCTCCCTCTCTTGCTTGCAGCTGGTCCCTTACAGGTCTTGGCATAGTGACCAGACTGCCCACATTTAGCACACTTTGCAGCACGTGTCCTCTTTAATTTTTTGGTTTTGCTGTCATGCTCTTCAGTTTGATCCTTCTTCCTATGCTTTTTGGGACGGCCAATTGGCCTTTTCAGTGGTGGAGGAATGAGTTTAGGCTCAGATGATGCAGGCCAATACTGATCAGAATTGACAGGGTTCAAGGTATGTGCATAAGTGGCATGCAAAGCATCCACTGTCAGCCATTGATGGACATAAAGCTCTGCTGGTTCATTCTTGTGACATATTGCAGCAATTGCATGCTCATATGACAATCCAGTGAGCTGCCACACATTACATGCACAAGTCTTGTACGTTAGATTGACTCCAACCCTTTCACCTTTTCCAGTCACTTCGTATAAATCTTGCTCCAAGTTCCCTATCCAAAATCTCAGGAACTGCAATGCAACCATCAAAATATATGTCTATTTTGTTCCCATTACTTGAGGCAGCCTTGACCATTTGCAAAACATCTGAATCCTTTTCAAGAAGATGCAACCCAACCTCTAAATCACTCTCACCAGGCTTCAACCACCACATCTGCCTACATTTGTGGTAACCATACCCCTTGAACAGAGCTTCAAGGTCACGAAGGTTTACATAGTCTGAATTCATTTCAGGTAAATCATTCACTCTGCCATTCACATAATTCAGCTTTCCTTCATCATTCCTAACCAACACACCCCCATGATGATATTTTATCACTATATATTCATTCATCTGCATAGAAAACAGAACATAATCATTTTTTACACTACCTTAATATTATTTTACAGTATCATACAACCAATCAATTATTTTCAATATTACTATAATACTGTAACAGTCACGATTATTTTAAATGGCTGCATTGCTAAAAATTTGGGGTTTTTTTTGTAATCACTACACATGGCAACTTAAAATAACAACAGGGGGACCACATGCAACAAGTTCCAAAAATATTCTACCAAAGGGGACCCCATAAAAAAACCCTAACCATCTCTTGCCCTAAACCGCACATGGGGGACCACATTAAGCAAAAACACAATGACCAAAAAGGATAGAGGGACCACAGAAAATAAAGAAATGGTTTCTCTCACGTACCTTGCACGAATGTCACCACAGTCACAACCGTTTTAAGGATCTTCACCCTAAACCACACTACTTCCAAAAGCTTGCAACTGCAGAAGACACGTACAGCAACAAAGCACCGTAGGTCACCAACCTTCACCGAAAACGAAGCTCACGAGCTGAGGAAATGGCAGGTATGGACAAGTTACTTGTTGTCTGATTGTGTTAACTGAGTCAACAACAAAGGTTCAATAAGTCTATCTTCATCAAACGACGTCGTCCCCTTCTACACACCTGATACAGCCTTCCAATGTAAGACGACGTCGTTCCTTTCTCCTCCACGTGGTTGTGACGTTAGTGACTCAGCCACTTAACGTTCTAGCTGGCCTCCGTCAAGTGGGTCGTCACATTCCCAGTGACAGAAGGACAAACGTGTCCCTTTTTTCAAAAATTAGACACTGAAATGTGACTTTTTTTTACCTAGGGACTAAATTGTGCCGCGTGAAAATTTCCAGGGACGAAAAATGGTATTTACTCTTATTTTTAAAAAAGTTACTTTTTTAAAAAATAATTTTTTTTTGAGAATTTTTAGATATTTGGATAACAACTTTTAAAAAAAGCAAAATTTAAAATAAAAGTTAAAATGCTGCTTTTTTTATAGCCAGTAGTTGGTTGCTTTTGAAAAAAGCAGAAATTAAAAGAGAATATAAATTTGTTTTTTGGAAAAAAGAGAATATAAATTTTTAAAATATAATTTTAACCTTATCCTATCATACCTATTTTATCTCTCATTATACCACGATCATGCTATTTTATCTCTCTTTTATTGTAATTATATATATAAAAGTGCTTTTTTTATTTTAATGTCCAAACAACTTTTTTATGTAAAAGTAATTTTCAGATCATATATCCAAACATAAAATAACTTTACCTTTTAAAAAAAACAAAGCATAAAAAATTATTTTTTTAAAAGCTCATCCAAACGAGCCCAGTTTGCTTTATTCAAAATCTTAATCCCTAGTGATTATAATGCCGTTCATTAAATACGTAACAAGCTACAATTATGATATTTGTTACCTCTACAATCTCTGTAAAGATCATCTCCACAATCCTTCGCTTACAATCATTATAATTTCCACTATCTCTGTCAAGATTCTCTCAATGATCTTTGGAAATGGATGATCTTCTCTCTTCTATAAGGTGGTGTTTGGTTCAGGGGAACCAAACATTTCCCCATGCAAATGAACATGGTGATCTAGGAATTACACGTTTGGTAGAGGGATTCAAGCAAGTTCCATAGCTTTAGCAAATGCATAGCATTCTAGCATTTGGTCATACTTAGCCAGGCAACGTCACTGTTTGCAAAGCGAAGTTGGGGGTGGGTTTGTTGAGAAAGCCGTGTAAGTTGCAATTTGCACAAATTTTGCAGACGAAAATACCCTCTGAAACTTGAGAAGATATTTTTATCATCCTTGTGTGGTCAGCAAAGCCCGTGTGTATTTCTTAGTGCAGAAGCTAAAAATTCCTTGTGATGGGTTGAAGAGCAAATCTTCAGACGGTGAGGCTTGATCGGCACAAACATTGCATGTTGGTTCTGACGAGACTCTTGCTTTTTGTGGTTGACAGTGTCCAAAGGTAAGCATCGTTGAACAATGGTTCCTTGTATTTGGGAACCATTTCCCGAACTATCGACCTGACCCTTTCCCTCTTTGTTTATGTTGAGGTGACAAAATGCATGGACGATCGAACCAGTGGTTTTGTCAGACCGGAGTTTGACGTTTGTATCTTGCTATTTTGTAGATCCTGCATCCTTAGTTAACCGTATCTAGTTGCACAGGGGAGACTCGTGAGACACATACCATTACTGACCGTTTTTACTTGCTGTCCACCGTAGATTTGTTTGTGGTTAACTCCGATCGGGTAAGTATTTCACGGGTCATTACCTATGAGAACCAGTTTGGGTTTTATTTAGATACAGGGGATTGGTAAGGTAATGTTTATATCAGTTATGGTCTGTTAGTTTTGTATGTGTGCTTTCTCTCTTTGACATTTTATATGTCACTTGTCTGTCTTTACATGTCTTGTTGCTACTAATAAACTTCGAACTTTGTTTTCGTTGTATACTGCTGAGATAACCACATTGCTTCTGTACCATTTGACTACCACCGCATATACAGGAACTTTGTCTGTATTTTATTGCCCTTGATTAAGTTACCTAAACCCACTAACCTTACCGTCTCTTTATTGGGATGTAAAGAGTCAGTTTAAAGATTCTTGATCTGTGGTGTGTTTCAGTTTTTGTTTTTTTGTTTTTAAGTTATGGAATGTTATTGCAATCTTGAAGTGGATGTATTGGTATGGTAAGACAAAAGATGTCATTACTTTTCCTGATCGTTCACAAATGTCATCCCAATCTAAAATGAATACTGTTATCTTTCCTACTCCCACCATCTTTTTTTGTACGTCAAATCTTCATATTTGAAGTAAAAACCAACAAGTGAAATCATCATAATCTTCATATTCAGCAAGCATGTTTTACTGTATTTGATTGAATTAATCCTCACAAGTGAAATCATCATCCTCTTATGTATATAATATAAGAGTACATATATATTAGTTGAATTACCTGATCCTTATGTATGTATGTATATATATATATATATATATATATATATATATATATATATATATATATATAAAGTTGATTCCCAAGTCCTGCCCAAGCAACTGACCTGCATTCTACAAGGAAAAACTAGTCACTTCAGCAGGCATGTTACTAATACATAAGGATGTGATGTTTGTATATTGTATTGTATGTACATAATCTAAATTTGGTGTACATCAAAGACAGTTAAACTACATAACAACACGAACAACTATATTAGACTATCTTAAGAAAGCAAGTAACAACATAATAGGGATGATTCTCATGTTTAAAAAAAAAAATAATGGACATGATTCTATGGTCCTGCTTTAGGCAAGTGCCAATTGCCACAAATAAGTGACTACTAAATAAAAGGATTTCAAAGAGAAACTCAGAAGCCATGAACTGCCCCTACTTGTCTGGACCTGGAATATATATTGATGCTTTATGTTTGAAAATAATTTTTAAAGTGTTTTTTGGAAATATTTATTTGTTACAGTTTAAAATGAAAGTAAAATGTATAATTAACTCTTAAATGTCATATTTTCTGTTTTGATTAAGGCTCATGTTTGATTGTTGACAAAAACGTATTACTTTGGTTAGAATTGTTATTCCCACTTCTTTGTTTGGTTGTTGTTCTGGTGCGTGTGTGCGTGTCTGCTTATATTTTTTTTATTTAGCCGAAAACGTTGTTGGATTGGTTATTGCGATGGAATAGGAGAATCTTACATAATTTTGACAACCTTGTGACTTATTTCCGCCGTACATTTGTAATATTTTATGTTTACTGACTAATCTTAATGTTTTTATCCTTCACGTGTTAGATAATGGCAAACGACAATGGAATGGAGTTTAGTGTCATTCTCATACTGATTACTCATTTGGAGTGTTTGAGTCAACTGACTAACATGTTTGTCAGTATATGTGCCGTGTTGTTACGCATTGCTGAAAATCGGAGAAATAGACGCAGGGCAGTGGCATACAATTTTTGTGGTAGGGCTAGGGTCAGGGAAGTAAACTTCCTTAGGATTGTTCATATAAGTGACACGGCTTGTATCGAGAATACAAGGATGGATAGGAGGTGCTTTCATAACTTGTGTGGGTTGCTTAAAACTGTTGGCCAACTTCAACCGACACGACATATGGGTGTTGAGGAGATGGTTGCAATTTTTCTCCACATCTTGGCTCACGATGTCAAGAACAGGATAATTAAAAGACAATTCATGCGGTCAGGGGAAACCATCAGTAGACAGTTCTCTAATGTGTTGCTGGCAGTGTTACGTTGTCATAATGTTCTGCTTAAGCGACCAGAGCCAATCCCGGAAAACTCAACTGATGAAAAGTGGAAGTGGTTCAAGGTAAGACAGTTGTGGCTGTACAGTTATACCCCTTGCTATAAGATTCACTCATCTAGCGTATGACTATCTTATTAATTTTGTGATACGTATTATAGAATTGTTTAGGAGCTCTTGATGGGACACACATAAAGATTAATCCCTTACAAGCAGATAAGGCCAGATACCGGACTCGAAAGGGTGAAATTGCAACTAATGTTTTAGGGGTTTGTTCTCAAGATGGTCAATTTATATTCGTCTTGCCTGGTTGGGAGGGTTCAGCTGCAGATTCTAGGGTGCTAAGAGATGACATAGCTCGTACAAACGGTTTGAAGGTTCCTAAAGGTATTCCCTATGACTCTTTGTAATTCCTGATTATATTGACAAAAAACTTAACTTACGATATGGCCCGAATTGATATATGTTCATCGTATCTTTTGTTGTAGGGTATTATTACCTATGTGATGCTGGTTACATGAATGGGGAAGGTTTCCTTGCGCCGTATAGAGGACAACGATATCATCTTAGCGAATGGAGGCACGATGCCCAACCAAGAACAGCTCAAGAATTTTTTAATATGAAACACTCCTCTGCAAGGAACGTCATTGAACGAGTCTTTGGAATGCTAAAAGGGCGTTGGGCAATTGTTTGATCGAAATCATTCTATCCCGTTAAAACGCAATGTAGGATTATCAGCGCATGTTGCTTGCTTCACAACCATATAAGGAGAGAGATGTCAGTGGACCCATTGGAAGCTGAAGAAGTCGACATGAATACTGCTGAAGATGACCTGGGAGGTGTTGATTTGATTACTCATGTGGAGTCATCTAATGCATGGACAGCCAGAAGGGATGAAATGGCACATACCATGTTTAACACGTGGAGGAATCGTGCTTGATTTGCAGCACATAATTGCATGATGTGTTCAATTTGTGTTTTATTAGTGTTGTCTGGCTTGTAAACTTTAATGAATTTGCGGTGGATGGTTGTAATATCACTGAAACCTTAAAAACTGCTTCAACCTGTATTTGTCATGTATGCTGCTATGGATGTTTGTTTAGTTTGTGGTGTTTACTCTTTTGTCGACATTTGTTATTACTTCATATTCTTAACCTCATGTCATACAATTCATCAATATATGTTCCCTAATTTTATTGACTTATGGCAGATCTTGTGTTTGTTGGATTCAAGTTATGGGTGAGGACAACCAGAATTCAAAAACCAAACGTAATCACACTTGGACTGCCGAGGAGGATAAGATCCTCATTGATTGTCTAACTGAGGTGGCTGGATGTTTTAGAGGTGAGAACGGGTTTAAACCAGGCTTCTCTAATGCAATAGAGAAGATGATGCATGGTAAGATACCTAACTGTACACTGAAAGCTATCCCGCACGTCACCTCCAGGGTGAAATTGTTGAAAAAACAATACAATGTTATTGCTGAAATGACCGGACATGGTGGTGGGAGTGGTTTCGGTTGGAATGACGCCAAGAAGATGGTTGACGTCGAGAAGGACATTTTCGAAGAATGGTTGAAGGTAACATTGATTTTCACTTAAGTTATTAACTTTTACTAACTTTCATTACGCAGTTGCATTCATATTCCATTTATAACAAATATTCTTATTGCGCAGTCTCACCCTTCTGCAAAGGGTCTTTGGAATAAGCCATTCCCGTACTTTGACATATTGGGAACCATATTTGGCAAGGATGCAGCAACAGAAGGTAATTCGGAGTTGATGGGGGAATCGGTCCATGCAATGGAGCAGAATGCTGAATGCAATGCGGAGAATGTGAATGCTTTTGACGACTATCTAAACTTTACAGGGGACTACATACCCACACCATTGGAAGAGCTAGTGATCCCTGAGATCCCAGTTGAAGAAGTTGTGCCATCCTCAGATGTGTCTACTGCTACTGTCAAAAAGGGAAAGAAACGTGATAGACCTGAAGATCCATTGGTTGCTCCTATAGTTGATGTCATGAAAGATATTAATCAAAACTATCGCAAGACTACTGATAGCATTGACAAGTTGGTTGCCTGCTTTCAACATCAAGCTGATGGGAGCATAAGGCGGATGTCAATTATGGAAGAGCTGGAAAAAATTGGAGATCTTACTGATTCACAGATGGTTCAACTTGCTGTCTTGTTGGGAAAGGATACAACTTTGACAGATGTTTTCATGCAATGCAATGATCAGCGAAAGAAGTGTATGCTGGCTGGGTTGTTGTCTAATTCTCTATAAACGGGTTGTGCAGAATTTTTTGGAGTGTATGTGTATATAACCATACAGATTATGGTACCTTTTGGTGTGGTTTGATGTGCTTTTGGGAGAAGCTACATACTTTCAAATATTTAAATTGCAACAAGTCAGAAAAATAGAGCTTGCCTAGTTGGGAGAACATGAACACTGCTACTCAGTTTTTGTGTGGATGCAGGAACACTATTGTCATGTTTGCTCAATTAGGAATCGTATTAATCAATTACTGTTTTAATAATAGGTGCTATTGCTTAAGGATATGCTGGTTAGGTAAATTATGATGCTTTTGGAGAGTGGTTTGTAGGCCTGGCCAAGGGAATATGAGTAACATGTTCATAGTCATGCTTACAGCAACACTTTGGGTATTGCATCACTCAGAATCGGTAGATGCTCTTTAACTCATAATTTTTTGTTTCTGGTTCCAAGAAGGACATAAATGAAAAGGTATGCTAAATTTTGATTGTAGAAGCTCATTCTCTAATTATATTTAAACTGTTTATTAGTTTATGTTATGCACTATGTTTATAAACAGACTGCAAATAACATTGAATTGTTCCTTTCGATTTAACACTCCAATTACTGACTACAAACATTGAATGTTGCGAGTGTATGGTTGGAAAGATACCATTCCTGAATGCTACTGTTTTTGAAGCACAGCTGCTCATGTTACTAAAAACATGATGTTTATATTATTCTGGTGCTACTTTCTAGTCAAATACAACCATGTCATTGGTCCTATGAACATAACAGCATGGTAATTTAAGTGTTTATATATGCAGATACCAGTAAAGAAGGACAACAAATGTGGAGACAGATTGCACAACATGACATTGGCTATCCAGTGGTGTAATTGGCTGTGGATCATTTGTCATGTATGCCATGTGCCACCCCTACGTTGGCTAACTTCAATGTCAAGCTGTTTCAAGAATGGGAGTGCATTGGACTACTGACTACAAGTGTATGTTGTAGACAATGTTCATTGTGCTTTGGAATGAAGCTCATATATTGGGAAATTGATTATGTTGTAATTTAAGTGTTGTTACACATGTCATTGATAATGTTTAACATCTGCACTGTTGTATTATAAGATCAGAAAGCTTAAAGTACCTTTGAATTTATGATGATATCGTATGCTAATCGTGGTGAATCTTTCTCAAATTTTCGATTGCAACCAGCCAAGATGAGCCATATTGTCAATCATTCATTGTTAGTTTATTCTTTCAATGTTTTTTTATAACATATATAGTAAACATATCAACCAACAAGGTTTATAAATCCGGATATGATGTCCTTTATGAGTACCATACCAACTCCCATCCATCGTGATTCACCTCGAGTTGGGAGTGCTTTTGAATTTGATGTTACGCATGTTTTTGTCTAAAAAAATACATCCTTAAGGACATGAGTTTGTCTTAATGAATAAAGTAAACACTTAATAAAATAAGTTGAGATCACAATTTCAGCCACAAACAGAAAAAGGAAAAGAAATCTTCAGTAGTGTGTAACTGGGATCAGCATTAAAGATTGATTTTTCCAGGAAGCAGAGTTCTACATGGGTTCAAAACTGAGGAGTGGAAGAAAGCAAACTGAACCGCCGCACATTAAAACATGAGAGACACAGTCACAAGACAAACTAAAAAAAAATCATTCCACCACTGTAGAACGAAAAATTTTGACATTAAGCTACCACTAGGTGATGTACTACACAATGTCAACCTTGTCCTAATTGTCTCTGTCCTATTTTAACCCCAAATTCTCATTCAGTTTGTAATTAATTGGCCATCATCACCTTAACAAATTCATCATAATTTATTTTGCCATCACCATGAACATCAGCCTCTCGATTCATGTCATCAACATGATCATCAGTGACCTTCTCTCCAAGATTGGTCATCACATGGCGCAGCTCAGAAGCAGAAATTAAACCATTCTGATCCACGTCTTTAACTCTGAATGCCTCTTTCACCTCCTGCTCAGCCACTTGTAGTTTTTCTTGGGATCCCTTTACTGGTTCTTCTGGACCTTTCCTGCACTTGTGGAACCTCAAGCTCAGGATTCTCAATGCCATCACTGACACTCCTTGTCCTAAGTAATGGGTGAGGGGTCAGAAATTGCAAATTTTTTTGGGAGGTCAAAATATGGTGTGTCATTGGTTTCAGCTGAGGGATCAGAAATTGCAACTGTGTTTGGTAACTAAATTTGTTGTGATTTGTCTTGAGAATCCTTCCCTGGTTCTTCTGATTTTTCCTGCACTTCAGCAACTGCAGGCTCAGGCTTAGGCTTGTCTATTTTTTGGGAACATGTTTCCAAATATTCAATTTCTTTCACTAACTTTGCTTCTGATTCTAATACAGGAATATACTCAGTTGGATTGGTTATTTCTTCAATGAATTCAGCAGATGCTTGAGGAATGTTGTCTGGCTTTTGGCTGCATCAGAGGCTGGTGCAATCAAACTTTTCTCCAACACATTGTCTGCACCAGTTGCTTCTGATGACAGAGAACCATAAATCTTTTCTACTGAAATGTTATTACTTCATGTTTAAATAATCAAAGACATATGAGCTACTAATTTTACCACACCTCCAATCAAAAGTGGGAATGTCTCTATATATATAGTTGGTTAGATACCCATTATAGTGTTTGCTTGGATCTTCATCAAACAAAGGAATAATGCTAAAAACTGAAATGCCAACCTGATTGTACAACAACTCAGAATCTGTAATAGCATAAACCCTGCGGATCTTGTTCCCCGTAGCTTCTAGCAAACCATCCATGATCATCAAGTAGTCAATGAGTGGATCCTCTGCATAAAAAGCAAGCCTTTTCTGCACCCGAATAACAGGAAGACTTGATGCTATTTCCATGAACCCTCCAATTCCAGAAAACCCAGAACCAGAATTGACAACCGCAGATATTGACAAGCCCTTTCAGATCAGGGTGTTGAAAATTGATCAAGCTCATCCTTCAAATTTTCCTCCTGAACTTCTTTGCATACTTCATCATAATTGTCAAAACAACTGCAAAGCTCATCTTCCTCTTCCTCTCTTCCAACACCATCTAAAACTGCCTGATCCTCCATTTTCCCAATTTAAAACCACATAACCTGAAACACCATCTCACACACAGTTCAATCCATACAACAAATATAACAAAATCTGGTTCATACCATTCAACAAATTTGACAAAATCTGGCCAAAACAAGGTTGCACATAAACCTCACAAACAGATGGTTCAACTTAAATTAAATAAACTTACATACAAACAAATATAATACTTAACAACCATAGTCATAGAAGGTTCAACAAATATACAACAAACCCTAAACCATTACAACTTGGAAATGCACTTTCACTTTAGCATCCCATACGACTGTTTCACTTCAACCACATTTTATCGCTTTCCACATAATAATCCCAAAAGTTATGACAATTACAATAACCAAAACAACTAATCTTTTATTCATATTTTCATTCTTCACACAAGTCCGGCAGGTGGGTTCTTCAAACCATTCAAAGAAATGACAATCTTGCGTTGTCCTGAAGTTAGGGCATCCAAAAAACTGTCTCTTATAATTTCTGGCCGTATGAGACGTACGCAATGCAGCCGGCACTCCACAGTAGCACATCTTCACCCTCGATGTGTATAACGATGAAGAATGCCCAGAAATTATGCTTTCAGACCCACCAATTCCAGATCCGTTTCCACCCATGCTTCCTTCAAATAATGGTCTCCTCCCTTGCATACTAGTCGCGAACCGAAACTGCGGTCAGTTAGAATAAAGTCACAAATTGACAGTCAGATAATACAAAATATTCATACAAACGAACAACATTGCAAATACAACTCTATCTCTGATATATAATTATTATATCTCAATTGTTACGGTCATCAGACATTGATAGTGCGTAAGGTTCGTTTGACTGCAGTACATTAAAACAATGTATGCAACCCACTTAACATGGTTTTCTCCTTCTTAATGGCTTGTTTTCATATCTTTTTGCTGGTCAATATGTGAAGAAATACAGCTGCAAGAAAACAATAAATAAATCACTGTACCCTGCAAGCGACTTATTTTACTTAAATCGGTCACATGCCAGAAACGAAGATGTAAACGTAACAATCAATTAATATATATATATATATATATATATATATATATGTATATATATATATCAGCAGCTGGGTTTACATAAATCTTAATTTTCAACAGAATCTTTCGATTTCAAAAAGGTTTGACACCCACAACATTCCAACACACAATCAAAACGAAATGCAGACGATTTACAAGCTTAGGGAAGGCAACATGTTTTACATCTATGAGGAAGGATTAACTTGACTTACCAACAAATATGGTGCCAAGAACCAAGTGGAACCCTAACTTGCACAGGAACGTTCACTGAACAACACCACCGTCATGTCCAACCTCGGTTGTGCCTGTTCACAGAGAGTTGAGGACCTCAAGCCGACGAAGCTCCCACTTCACCTCGCCTGGTTTAAGAAATGCACTGAACTTGATGGGGAGTGACGAAACGGTCACGTGGAGGACGTTGCGTTTTTGAACTTGGATGACAAATGGCGAACACACTGGCCACATGTACGCATAATAGCATATTTGTATTGGGGTTATATTTGTCATTTCATTCTATTTACCCATCCAAATTTTATCATCAACCAAACATAGGTTTTATACACTTTCATAAATTTCCCGAGTAAAATTTCGTTCAACCAAACTACTTTTTTTAAACTTCCCTATCTATTTCACTTTCCCTGTAGATCCCTAGTAATTACATTTTCCCGGTGAACCAAAAATATCCCATGAACCAAACACCACCTAAATGCAAAGGTGAAGCCTTCGAATATTGAGCATCAAATTATATGTAGGTGCATTACCACTTCTCGACCATTGGAGCGCATAGAGGAGCCACCTTCAACAACCATCGGATCCCCATCAATAAGACTAGAAGTGGCATCTCAATTGGTTCAAATAACATTGACCGAACAAATATATTAAAAATTATGAAATTACACTAAAACAATAATTTATTTAACGAAATCCTAGCATTTTTCACAAAAAACGAAAAATGAAAATGATTGATCAGACACGAATGTATATTAGATTAATAAAAAATTCTTAAATTTATGCCAATTCTTTTATTTTTATAATAAAAATACATTTATAACTTTCCAAATGAATAAAAAACTCGAGAATATATTTATAATTAAAAAATTGGAAAAGTATTTTTCCAGATCTCCAGTAAGCTTAAAACGACGTCATTTTGAGTTATAAGATTAAAAAATTATAATGATATAGACTAAAATAATCCTGCAATATATTATAATTACAAAAACACTTTGATTTTCGCCTCAAAACGACGTCGTTTTGAGCTCTCTGGAAATAACTTATTTCTATTGATTGAAGAAATCCTTTGTTCTTAAAAAATTACACTTAAATAAAACAATTGATATAAGGAAAAATATTTGTCCTTTTAAATGATATAACTTTGTGTCATTTTAGATCATAACAGTTGATTTTCGTCAATCAACGATTATGATTTATTGGATTTTATTGAGAATTACTAATTAATTAATAAGTTTGACCCAATAAATTTTAACTATTGATTGACGGAAATCTGGTTAGGATTTAAAATGATACAAAATTATATTCTTTAAAAGAAAAAATTAATTAATTAATTAGTAATTCGTAATAAATCTAATAATTTTGTATCATTTTAGATCCTAAATGTTAATTTTCGTCAATCAACAGTTAAAATTTATTAGGTGAAATTTATTAATTAATTAGTAATTCGTAATAAAATTCAATAAATTCTAATAATTGATTGACGAAAATTAATTATTAGAATCTAAAATAACACAAAATTATAACATTTAAAAGGATAAATTTCTCACAAGAACCGTTAACATTTTCTATTTACTCCACAGGTAAAATTGTAATTCTACTTTATGATTTTTTCGTTCTCTTCAATTTTTTTACAACGCAAATAGAAAAACATTTTCTCGTTTCAAAACAGAGCAGATTCTTCTCTATTTCGTTTCATCTTCTTCACTGGTTATTCATCTACACACACTGAAGGAGGAGGAGGAAGAAGAAGAAGCAGAAGGGCAAAAAGACAACTACGAGAGAAGCTCGTGTTCTTCTCTCCTTAACCTTTGTAAGTGGATCTAACCCTATCTCACTACCATGCCTAGCTGCTCCTGTTTGTGCCTCTGAATGTTGTTTCTTTTCAATCTGAAACCTGTTTCATTTTTCTTTTCACAATTTTGAAAAACTTGAGTGTTCTCGGTGTTTATCTTGTTCGAAACCAACAATTTTTAGTATGTGAGTTTATCGTATGTTTTATGAAGGGGTTATACATAGAAATAGAGTAGAAGTGCGCATAAACTTTGTGAGGAAGTATTTTAGATATCATATAACGAACACCTCTGTTGTTAGATGAAGATATAGTAGGTATCTTAAACAGTATTGGTAAGCTATTTATTTGATATTATAGGCTAGTGAAGACAATACTGAAGTATAGACATAGAAATTATGTCACGAATTACGAATAGTGATCCAAAATAAATTAAAACAATTTTGAAAATCTGTTGGACCAATATCCTAAAATGAATTATTTAAAAGCAATAGTTAATAAATTTTTGACAACTCAGTTTGGGTATGGTACTCATTCGGGTAACAAAGCAACTTCATAATATAATGACTACTCTAGTTTGAGGTTTACACTGCTTTTTCTTGGGGAAAGGTGAATTTGTATTTTCTGGTTAATTGATACAGTGTTATCTATGATGAATTCACATAACAAGTGGTATTACGTAGTCTTCTAATTCTAGATACAACAAAGTTATCAAATGCGGATTGCGGCATGTCGCGGCCAACCCTGAAAAACGCTATAGCGCTATAGCGGATTGCAGTTACGGAAATAGCGAAATAGATATATGACAAAAATAATGAGAAAAAGAAACATTTTTTAAAGGCAGATATAGAAGAAGTGATAGAAAGAAACACAGATAGACTAAAAAACCCCTTAAAATTTTTTAGTTACACAATTAAATTTAGGACAAAATTGACATTTTGCTTTATGACAGCAATATGGCCGCGATTTAGCTGCAAATGCGATCGCAATGGCCGTTATTGCGTTCTGGTGCGACGCGACTCGGTTTCTTGCGGCGAGGCACCGCAACGTCCATACGGCGCGACTCATGACGCTATTGTGGTGCAATTAACTACTATGAGATACAATAAGGAAAGGAGATGGGATTTTTATCATTTGCAAGTCACTAGAAGGAACTCACTAATTGGAAATTGCTCACTACTTTTTCCTTTATTATTGATATAATTTACAATGGTCGACTGACTATTGTAAATTGATTATGGAAGTGAAAATCACCTAGATTTGATTTGGTTGATGGAGCTGAATATATGATATCTCTTGGATTTTGTGCTCTGTCTTTCTGAGGATGCTCTTGCACAAGGAAAGGTATAGGGACTAAGGAAGAGTTGTGGTGAGGATTCTTTGTGGGTTTTTTTGGTGTTGGTGTTTCCTCAGTTGAAGTAGCATTATTTTAGCTTTCTTTGCTTGTGGTATGTTTAGAAATATCTTAGGGAGCTTGTGTAACTTTTCATAAGTCCATAAAATTTATTGCTACTACAGTACAACCGTAAGGATTATTGATTGGAAGGGGTTGGTCCTAGGTGGAGGAGGTGGATCTTAGGTTTTCTTTCAATGTTCACTTTCTTTCAATAGTGAACCTAAAATCTTGGTTTGGAGGTCCAAGGAGAGTTTGACAAGGTGATACTGTATTACATTTTTTATTTACTTTAGCTGTGCAGTTGCCTTGTTGGATGATTTGCAGGGTAGTTGATAGAGCTTTATAAGTGGTCTAAGAGTATGATTGGAGGAGGTTGTGGATCCTAATTGCAGTTTGTTGATGACATATTGACAGACTCTTATTGTTGATGGTGTATAATGTTCAATTTTTGAAAAAAATTTCCCTTCTAATTTTTGAAAATATTTTCACAGTTGGGTAGTAATTTGATGAATGGACCAAATGGTGGCTTGGGTAATATTATTCTGGAAACTTTCCCCCTCATGCAACTTTTTCTTGCTTTTGGTCCAGATGGCCCCGTACATATTTTTTAGTTCCTTCAAGGGGAAATACATGAGCCTTTTGATATTTTTTAGTTCCTTCTATAAGAGAGGTTGATGTATTAGCCCTGTTCAGGTGTGCTTGTCCAGAATCTATCTTTATTATCTATCTTATCCTTGTTGGGCCTGAGACTAGGTTATCAATAGCACCAATATCACGTGCTATCCTATGGTGTGGGTAGTGGCACCCAGCTGCTATTTCTACAGTTGGCAAAGTGGATTGAACCTGATGAGTCAACCCACCAACCTGCCTTAACAGGATGGGTTGGGTTGTATATTTCAATCCACCAACCCAACACAATCCGTCCTGCATGTAGGCGGGTCAAAGCGGGTTAGGACCGGTGGGAAGGTTCAATCCGCGGGTTAGTGTTTTTTATTTTATTTTTTTTCATTTCAACTTGTCATCTTCATATATATCATATCGTTTCTTCACCAACATATTCATGACTTTAGTGCTATATATATTATGTACGACACATTTGACTTTTTTATTTGCATATGAAGTAGTTTTGTTGCAAAATTGCAACATCTATGGCTGTCTCCAATGGTGAGTTCACTACCATTACAACTGAAGATCGAACTGAACAAAATAAAAAGACAAGCGTTTCCACGCAACATATTATCATTCAAGGAATTTTATAATAATAATATTTGTAGAAATTTGCACACCGACACACACTTCTTATTTAATCCCACAAGTCATTATCCCAATATAAGTTCTTTATATATATATTTTTAATATTAAATGACACATTAGGAAAAAATGAAACTTTTCATTTTATTTTTTTAGTCAAAACGGTGGACTGGTATTTCCAACAAACTCACCAATGGCGGGTCAACCCACCCCATTTTTGGCAGGTTGAGGGTGGGGAGGGGCGGGTTGACTTGTTTTGCCTACCTTAACTATTTCCCCTGCACGACGCTACGATTGCAGTAGCATCCGCAGTCGCAGGTAGCGGATTGTAGTGCTATGGTGAAGGAAGGGCTAATCCCATTTTTCCTTGTGTAACTGGTGTCCTATCATTCATATTAAGGGGGTATAATCGACTTTTAACCCCCTTTTTAAGTTGGAAACTTCATCTGGACTGTCTCTCTTGACTGGTATTCTGACTCATTTTCTGGTAAGCCCATCAACATCTGGCGACTCCTCTCCTTGACTCTGTTTCCGGCTATCCACTTTCTCCTTTGTTTTGCAAGTATTTTCTCTCCGAGTTGGTATTTTCTGCTCTGTTCGGAACTATTGAGAGTATTTTCTTCTTTGTTCTGTTCAGAATTCCAGCAAGGAAATATGCATTTGACAGTATTTAGATCCTTCCTTTGTGTTCCTTGAATTTATTTAATTTAGTTCCTTGCAATGAATTCCTGTTGCTTCCTTTATGTTCCTTGAATCCTTGTTTGGAATGGAAGTGACAATAGAATTAATTATGAAAGAATGTCTTTAATTTTGGGTAATTTTTATTTTTAAGCATCTATATATATGTAGTATAGTTTAGTATAGAATTTATGTTGATTTCAATGTAGCAGCTACACTGCCACCCGCGCTATACTGCTATAGCATTTTGGGGGGCCCGCTACCTGCAATTGATAGCTATGGCCTGACAGCCTAGATGAGATTATGATGGATTTTTTTGGATTGAAGGGGGGCTGAAGAAAAGAGATCATCTGGTTAGCTGGAAGTCTGTTGTAGAACCAAGAAAGAGAGGACTTTAGGCATTCGCAATTTGGTGTTGAAAGGCATTGCTTTTGCTTGTAAATTTCTTTTGGGTCATTTTTAAAGGCAACTTTTCTATGTTGTATGCCACCAGCCTACTAGAGTTAGTATCATAAACATCAGAATGGGAGAAAATGAGATGCTAACCAAACAATTATGGCAACTCACTCATGTCCTTGGCAAAACATCTTTCAGGGATATTTATTTTATGGTAGGCTATAGCTTTCATGCTATATTTGGGGACAATCATTGGGTAGAGATATTTCTTTTCCTGGGGCATTTGTTAGCTCTTTTGTAGTTTAAATTACATAATTTCCAACTCCAAATTTTTTAACAATATTTATCATCCCAATATATCTTGAAAGTTCCATTTTTTAGGAATCTTGAAGCTAAAGAAACTTCTGACTCTGAGATTTAGATAGTGCACTTGTACAACATTTATAATTTATTATTTGCATTACTATGTTGTTATTATGCATAGAAATTCTTGACCATGATCTTCTTTGTGACATTGCTCAGATGAACTATAATTGCATCTTTTGCTTTTCATAATATTGGATGTTGTTAGTATTGAAAGATGTAAAACAAAGGTTTTTCTGAAAACTGATACATTTGATTTACATTGATAGTGGGTATTTATACAAGAGTAAATGAGAAAAAAATAGATAATGACTCAGCAATGAGTCATCAGCCCTATCCTGTCTATAGAAGCAAATTCAAAAATTCAAATTCCTATTAAAGGAAAAAATCAATCACTAATTAAAATAAAAAATGGAAAGATTTTCTACAGTTAGTCAGTGCTGAAATAGATTTTAGAGGTTAAGGAAACAAATAGGAGGCTGAGTCAAAAGACTAGTATTAAAGGATAGTGTCTATTTGTCCTGATAAGATGTTTTACGTTGAGAGTTTCAAAGAGAAAAGGATATGAGAGGGGAGTTAAAGAAGTTTTGTTTAGCCATTTTATGTTGAATTTTTATTTCTTATTTCCGCTTCTGTGGATGTCTCTGTTTCTACATGTTTTGTCTTGTGGATGATGTTAGATGCATCCCTCTTTACCTTTGCCTCATAAATTATAAATGTGTTAGGATTCTTGAACAAAGACAACCTCAGAGTAGATGTTAAAAAGGAATTTCAGAACAAGAAATAAGAAGGTTGCAGAAAAAATACTCAAGAATGCTTATTGTATTGAAGAGATTGATGAGCAGGGATTAAGATCCGTTACAAGGGTTTCCCCTTCTGAACTTAGCCACACGACTATGTTCACTTTCCAACTAACAAAACTAAAGCTTACACTACTTTCTGTCTTATTTAACCACTCAACATAATATCCCTTAATATCCTCTTTACATTCCTATGCTCTAACTAACTGCCTCAAGCTAACTATCTCAACGAACTACTCCCCTCTTCTCCTGCTTATTTCTTCTTTTATATACTTTCCAATTCTGCCTCTCTTGACCAAGTTCAACAAAATGTATTTAATCTTTGGCTTTATTTTCAAATGAACTTATCATTCTCCAAAAAATGTAAAGAGAGAGAAATGTAAAGAGAGAGAATGCCTGGTGGGTTGACAGTTCTACTTACATCTTTTATTTCAAAAAAAAGAATCAGAGGGTACTTGGTCTTGTGTCAGTGAATTTTGCCTACTGTCATTTCATCCGTTGTTGTGATGATGTCATTATGTACTCTGTTTAATTTGGTGCTGTTTCCATTGAATAAATGCATGATGCTCTACCTCATACACTAGTGGCAAGTTCATGTTGACCTTTACTTGGGCACATGTTAGTATTTTTTCTTTCTTTTAATTCAGGAACAGTTGGACACTTGTTCTTCACTTGTAATAAAAGGTGGCTATTTTCTTAATGGAACGATGTATTTATTTTATTTTATTTGTTGGGGAGCGGTTGGTGAGCACAGGTTTGCATTTATACTTTGGAGCTGTTTTATTAAGGCTTGAAAGCAAGGGGGCTAAAATTATTCTGATAATGTGTAGTTTATGCATTCTTTTTGTGTATTTGGTTGGAATGGAGTGGAATGCTTTCATCTTTGAGGTTGTCGTTTTGACCTCAACTTGCTGTATGAGATAGTATTGTTTTTATGATCTTATCAGTGTTCTTCTAATGGCTGTTTTGAAGGAGTTTCCATTTCAGATATACATCATGCTTACATTCTTGATTTTTCCATTTTCTTTGATGTATTTTGCTTTTTCTGTGCGGAGTATATATTATCCTCCCTATAGCTGTTGTTTCCATTCTTTTTTAGTAATAAAATTTCCTTATCTACCAAACTCCTTATTGAGTTGATATTAAATTTTAGAAGCTCATTGGCTTTTTCATGATGAATTTACATCATTTTGATTATGCGTTTTTGTTTCATTCTATGCATCAACTCCTTTATTTAGTTGATATCCATTTCCTGTGAATTATAGGAAAATCTCTGGGATATGTAAAGCTTGGCAAAAAGCAGAATGGGCAACGACATATTTGATGGGCAGATATTAGCAGAGAAGTTGTTGAAACTCAACAATTCGCAACAAAGCATTGAATGTATCCAGCATTGCTCCCTCTTATTTTTTGTTTGTTTGTTGTTTTAATTACAATACTTCTTTTAGTTATTTCTGCATTATCAAGCTGCCAGTACTTATATTATGGGAATAAATCCTTCCATGGCGCTATTGGTTCATTATAGTGCATTGGGTACTGTTAGAATATCAGATATGATATGATTAGATTTGATTAGATATGATTGGATTCTGTCTTATCCGTAAATAGTCTGACTGTATTCTGACTGTATTAGGATTAGGTTTGGATTAGGTTTGGGCCTTACACTTAAGCCCATTAGGGTCTCTATATATTGTAACTCCCTGACACAGATCAATACACAATGTATTCTTTTACATTTAACTTGGTATCAGAGCTCTTTCGTTCTAGGAACCCTCGCTTCCGCTCAGAAACCTTGTTTTTTGCTTTAAAAACCTAAGCCCACTGCTTAGGAGTCCTCTTTCTTGCCGTGCGTCCTTCCGGCAAGCCTTCTAGGGCTGTAAACAGCCTCTGAGTGATTTTTCCAAACGCGTCAGCACCTTCGACGGCCACCGGAACCACCGCCCGCCGTCAGAATCACTGTTCAGGCAACCGAAGACTTTTTCCGGCGACTTTTCCGACCAAACTTCACGCGATCAGGACCGTCTCTTCCCGGCGACCAGGTCTGTGGTGGTCCGGTCAGCAACGCATCTCCCACGCGCCGTCACGCGCCACCTGTCTTCACTGCGCGTGGGCTTCACGCGGCACCTTCTGCCGGCGCGTGAGCACTATTCCGGCGGTTTTTTCCGGCCGGTCTTGGACAGAGAAGCTCGCCTTCTCCTCCCCTTTCTGGATCTGTGATTGTTTCTTTGTGGGTCTGACCTTAGACGCGTGGTTCTTCTTGATTGGATATCGTTTGCCTTCGTTTACGGCTTTTATATTTTATCTTTAAATGACAGCAGCATCTCCTGATCTCTCGGAGGTTAACTCTCCTTCTATTGTTGCAAATATAGCTCAGTCAGACAAAGCATCATTTGGTTCAGGTTCGGACTGTGCTGCACTCCAAACCCCTCTCAGGAAGGCTTCTCCTCAGTCTCAGCCTTATACTGGTAATCCCGTTGCTTGTGTTTCTCATTCTACATCACTTGGCACTTGGATATTTGACTCCGGTGCTACCGATCATCTCTGTGGTAATAAGGAACTCTTTACATCTCTTACTTATTCTGATCATTTACCGTCTTTTACCCTTGCGGATGGAACCAAAGCCCCAGTTTGTGGGATTGGACAAGCTCGTCCGACCTCTACCTTGGCCCTGACATCTGTCTATTACATTCCTGGCATCCCTTATAACTTAATTTCTATTAGTAAGTTGATCCACTCCCTCACTTGCACCATTACTTTCTCTAACCATTCTGTTTCTGTGCAGGATCTGGGTACGGGGAAAATGATTGGAGTGGGTCGTGAGTCACGGGGGCTTTATTATCTGGATGTGCCTCGTCCTTCAGTAGCATGCTCTCTCACAGAATCTCCACAACTTATCCACAGTCGCCTTGGTCATCCAAGTCTTTCAAAGTTGCAGAAAATGGTTCCTCTTTTGTCCGGTCTTCGGTCTTTAGATTGTGTGTCATGTCAACAAGGGAAGCATACACGCTCCTCTTTTGCCAGTCGAGTCAATAAACGAGCTGATGCCCCTTTCTCTCTTGTTCATTCAGATATCTGGGGTCCAAGTCGTACCTTGTCTGTTTTAGGTTTTCGGTATTTCGTTACCTTTATTGATGATTTTTCCCGTTGCACTTGGACCTATTTAATGAAAAATCGTTCTGAGTTATTTTCCATTTATAAAAAGTTTTCTACTGAGATCCATACTCAATTTGGTGTTTCTATTCGTATTCTACGTAGTGATAATGCTAAGGAATATGTTTCTATTGATTTTTCTAATTTCTTGGCCACGCAAGGTACTTTACATCAAACTACTTGTCCTCACACTCCACAACAAAATGGGGTGGCTGAACGTAAAAACAGACATCTCATTGAAACTGCCCGTACCCTTCTTATTCATATGCAGGTTCCTCTTCACTTCTGGGCAGATGCTGTACTCATCTCTTGTTTTCTCATCAATCGCATGCCTTCATCTGTGCTCCACAATGACATTCCTCATAATCTATTGCTTCCAGATGTTCCTCTTTATCCTCTAACTCCACATGTCTTTGGTTGTACTTGTTTTGTTCATGATCTCACTCCTGGTAAGGATAAGTTAACATCCAAAGCCTTTCAGTGTATCTTTCTTGGTTATTCTCGTCTTCAAAAGGGTTATCGTTGTTATTCTCCCGACCTTAAGCGTTGCTTAGTTTCCGCTGATGTCACTTTTCTTGATCAACAACCCTTTAATTCTATCCCATCTCAGATGTCACAGGTTGATCATGTACTTCCTGTCCCTTTTCTTGACTTGTCTTTGCCAGCTGCAGGTGCTTCTATTCCAGATGAGCAACCTATTGCTTCTATACCTGAGGACCGTCCACTTCTCACCTATCAGCGTCGCAAAACTGTGCCTCCTGTCGACTCGACTCTTGCTGGCTCATCGCCCACTGCTGTTGCTTCTTCCCCTCCGGATCCTTCATCAGAGACTCTTCCCATTGCTCAAAGAAAAGGTACACGTGCTACTCGTAACCCTTATCCTCTTTATACCTTTTTGAGTTATGACCGTCTTTCTTCACCTCATTTCACCTTTGTTTCTAGTCTTTCTTCTATTTCTATTCCTAAGACCACAGGTGAAGCACTTTCCCATCCAGGGTGGCGCCAAGCAATGCTTGATGAGATGACTGCACTTCATTCCAATGGCACTTGGGACCTTGTTTCTGCTCCTCCAGATAAGTCTATAGTTGGTTGTCGCTGGGTTTTTACTGTGAACGTTGGACCTGATGGCCATATTGATCGTCTCAAGGCACGTTTAGTTGCCAAGGGTTTTACTCAAATCTTTGGCCTTGATTATAGCGATACATTTTCTCCGGTCGCTAAGATGGCGTCAGTCCGCCTCTTTCTTGCCCTTGCTGCTGTTCGTCACTGGCCACTCCTTCAACTTGACATCAAAAATGCCTTTCTTCATGGTGATTTACAAGAAGAAGTTTACATGGAGCAACCACCTGGTTTTGTTGCTCAGGGGGAGTCTGGAAAGGTGTGTCGGATCAGGGAAATACAGAAATTTGTGGTTACTCAGATGCCGATTGGGCAGGATCACCCTCGGACAGACGCTCTACTTCTGGTTATTGTGTCTTCTTCGGAGGAAACTTAATCTCATGGAAAAGCAAGAAACAACCTGTTGTTTCCCGATCTAGTGCAGAAGCTGAGTATCGTGCAATGGCAAATACTACCTGTGAGTTGATCTGGTTAAAGCAGTTGATTCAGGAGCTTCATCTTTGTGAACAGAAACAACCCATGACACTCATCTGTGATAATCAAGCTGCGCTACATATATCTTCTAATCCTGTTTTTCATGAGAGGACCAAACATATAGAGATTGATTGTCACTTCATTCGGGAAAAGATTCAGTCAGGAGAAATCAAGACAGCTTTTGTCAACTCGTCTAATCAACTAGCAGATGTTTTTACTAAAGCTCTTAGAGGTCCTCGGGTTGAATACATTTGTAACAAGCTTGGTGCTCATAATATATACGCACCAGCTTGAGGGGGAGTGTTAGAATATTAGATATGATATGATTAGATTTGATTAGATATGATTGGATTCTGTCTTATCCGTAAATAGTCTGACTGTATTCTGACTGTATTAGGATTAGGTTTGGATTAGGTTTGAGCCTTACACTTAAGCCCATTAGGGTCTCTATATATTGTAACTCCCTGACACAGATCAATACACAATGTATTCTTTTACATTTAACTGGTACTGTAACACTGCACTGTGGTTTGGACATAAAAAAGTATATCTAACAAAATGCAGCCTATATCTTCATTCCGTACTTTCTATTTTCTTGATTTTGTGCATGGGTTTACATCACATCATTTGACATGTTTTCATTTCTTAGTATACAAGTAAGATCGTATGTGTATTTTTTACGTTTTTTTTAAGAAATTGAATGCATTGTTTCTATGCCACCTATAGAGGCCAAAACAACTTGTTTAGCACCAGATTTATCAGTATGCCGGTCACATGTTGCATTTAGCAATTGGTAATGGACATTTTTCCCCGCTAGCTAAATAAATTTCTAAAAGTAATATTATTTTCAATATTAATGTGATTTATTTTTTTCAATCTCTTTTTTTTTTTTTTTTTTTTTTCACATGATTTCCCCCTTCCTATTTTTGTTTGAGTTTGATTGTTGTATTGCCATTTGTATTTCTTAAACATCCAATCAGCGTTATCCCGTTTGTGTATTTCTCACCGGAAGAGAGCAAAAGAAATAGTTGAAACGTGGGATAAATTATTCAGCTCTTCCCAGAAAGAGCAGCGTATCTCTTTTCTATACTTGGCTAATGACATCTTGCAAAATAGTAGGCGGAAGGGAAGTGAATTTGTTAATGAATTCTGGAAAGTTCTTCCAGATGCTCTCAGGCGTGTTTATGAAAGTGATGAAAATGGAAAGAAATCAGTAACCAGACTTGTAAGTCCTATTCTCACTTGTCATTAGTTCTGTCAATCAATTGTATTACAATGCACAGTATAGTAATGTTTTCATTCTCTGCTTATATTGTAATGCTACAGACTTATGGGTGCCTGGCTTGGATAATTTTTTGGTGTCTTCATTTTTTTGGTGTTCCCCCCTTTATTAGAACTAATATTGAACTGAACTGCTATGGATGAAAGAATGATTAACTTCTTGGTTAAAGAGCCTACTTCTGTGTATTAGGCTGTATGATTTGTTTTGTTTTTTAATAAGATTTTGTTAATGGTGTAAATTACTGGTGCAGCATATATTGAGCAGAACTCTTGTTCTTCTAGATGTGGAAATATTTCCTGAAAAATTTGAAGTTTATGTTGTCCTAAATATGGCCATTATTTTTTTTTAAGTTCTATTTTTTATTTTGATATAAAGCTTGGGAGAATCTCACTACAAAAGCTAGGCATTGTGGTGGGAGAGTCCAAGACCATATAAAACCTCCATTGGAGTCCCATATTTCTGATGTGCGACTCAAGTCCCATACCTTGCAATTGGATCCTTACAATCCACCTTGCAATTGTCTCTAGTCCTTTGACTAGTTCCCATCGAACACTACAATACCTGTGTTACCACCTGCGCCCACTTGTTTGCCACAAGAGACATGGTGGAAGGCTCTAATACCAGCGGATGGTTACTGATATTAACAAAGGAAAATAATCAAAAATTTAGTAAGCAAGCTCCAATTACCGTGATAGGAAATAGAAAATGGAGAGTATTGAAAAGAAGTTTCTGTATATTGATCTTGAATAATTTACATGAGTGAGTATTTATACAAGAAAGAATCGCTAAGAATGACTAAGCGATGACTAATCAATCCTAATTACAATCAATTCTAATCAATCACAATCAATCCTAATCAATCATTATCAATCCTAATTAATAGGAAATAAAAACGGAAACATGTTTGAATTCTGATTTTCTACACTCCCCCTCAAGTTGGGAGGTAAATATTGATCATTCCCAACTTGCCAATCAAGTCTTCGAATGCTGGACGGTGTAGGCCCTTGGTAAGGATATCTGCCGTTTGCTCTTTGGTTGGAACATATATCAAACGCACATTTCCATCATCTAATTTTTCTTTGATGAAGTGACGATCAACTTCCACGTGCTTTGTTCGATCATGATGCACAAGATTTTGAGCAATGCTAACAGCTGCCTTGTTGTCACAATATAGTTTTATTGGTAGGGAATATGAAATCTTCAACTCTTGAAGAAGTCTTCTCAACCAGATTCCTTCACAAACTCCATGAGCTAAAGTTCGAAATTCTGCTTCAGCACTACTTCTTGCAACCACTGTTTGCTTTTTGCTTCTCCAAGTAACAAGATTTCCCTACACGTAGGTGCAATAGCCTGAGGTAGATCTCCTGTCTACTGATGAGCCTGCCCAATCTGCATCAGTGTAGATTTCAATTGTCCTTTTATACCCCTTTTTAAAGAATAATCCTCTTCCTGGAGTATTCTTGAGGTATCTAAGCACCCTATAGACTGCACTAAGATGCTTCTCCTTGGGTGAGTGCATGAATTGACTAATCATACTCACCGCAAAGGCAATGTCAGGACGCGTAAGAGATAAGTAGATTAGTTTACCAACCAATCGCTGATATTGTTCTTTATCCACCTCATTCCCATCTTCAATACCTAACTTGGTATTAGGTTCCACAGGTGTCTCAGCAGGTTTACACCCTAACATTCCTGTTTCCAACAAAAGATCTAGAACATATTTCTTTTGTGTTAGAGTGATGCCTGTTTTGCTCCTAGCAACTTCCATACCAATATTTGAGTGCCAAGGTCTTTGAGTTCAAATTGAGCTGCTAGAAATTTCTTCAAGGTGTTCAATTCCTCAATATCATCACCTGTAAGAATTATATCATCTACATATACAATAAGAATAGCAATTTTACCATCCTTAGAGTGTTTGTGGAAGAGAGTATGATCAGTCTGTGCTCTGGGAGATTGTTTCAATCCATATAGAGACTTTTTTAGTTTACACACTGATCCATTTCCCTTTTCAAAACCAGGTGGAGGATCCATATAGACTTCTTCATGTAAGTCACCATTTAGGAATGCATTCTTCACATCTAACTGTTGCAGAGGCCAATCTAGATTGGCAGCAAGAGATAAGAGAACTCAGATGGTATTGACTTTAGCAACCGGAGCAAAAGTCTCATGATAATCTATCCCATGAGTCTGAGTGAAATCCTTTGCAACCAATCTTGCCTTGTATCTGTTGATGCTATTATCTGCATTGAATTTTATTGTAAACACCCATTTGCATCCTACTGCCTATTTTCCTTTGGGTAGGGTCACTATCTCCCAAGTTCCATTTCTTTCTAAAGCATTCATTTCTTCAAAGACAGCATCCCTCCATTTTTTATCATGAGAGCCTCATGTATATTTCTCGGTATCTTTGTACTATCCAACATAGTATTGAAAGCACGAAACCCTGGGGACAACTTTCCATATGAAATATGATTAGAAATAGGATGAGTAGTACAAGATCGAGTACCTTTTTTGAGAGCAATGGGCAAGTGTAGATCATTTTCACCATGACACTCAAGTATTGGGGTGCTGGAACTAGAACATGGTTCAGAATCCTGGCAGTGTAGAGGCTCAAGGTTATTCACACTTTGAGGAGGCTTTTGCCTGCTATAAACTTGTCCCCATTTTGAGGAGGCTCCTGATGGTGAGGATTCTGTAGCTCCCCCTGTTTCCAAAAGTAGAGGTAATACCGTGGCATCAGTAGGTTCCCATGACTGATCTTCATTTACTCCTATAGACTCCCCCTGAAGAGAAGTCGAGGGGAAGAAAGGGTCATTTTCAGAAAAAGTGACATCCATAGAGACAAAGACCTTACGAAGAGAGGGTGAATAACACTTATAGCCACGTTGAGTAGGAGAATAACCAATAAAGACACACTGAAGAGACTTAGGATCAAGCTTAGACCGTTGATGGGAGGGAATATGGACAAATACAACGCAACCAAATAACTTGAGAGGTAAGGAAGAGACACCTCGGAAGGAAGGGAAGATACGAACAAGACTAGAAAGAGGAGACTGAAATTTAGAATGCGAGATGACATTCGATTTATCAGATACGAGGCAGTGAGAACTGCCTCTCCCCAAAGATATTTAGGAACACTCGTGGTAAACATAAGAGCCCGAGCAACTTCAAGGAGATGTCGGTTTTTTCTTTCCGCAACTCCGTTTTGTTGGGGTGTGTCAGGACACGAGCTTTGGTGAAGGATGCCATGTTGGGAAAGATATTCTCCAAGAATAGAGTTAAAATACTCTTTGCCATTATCTGTACGAAGAATTTGTATAGCAACTTGGAATTGGGTTTGAACCATGGCATGAAATTTTTTAAACACGGATGCAGCATCGGACTTATCCTTTAGAAGATACGCCTAACAGACTCGAGAATGGTCATCAATGAAGGTAATGAACCATCGAGTACCTGAAATATTTTTAACACGGGCTGGACCCCATATGTCACTATGAATTAAGGAAAACGGGGACGAGTCATGGTGAACTTTAAAAGGATAATGAGCACGGGTATGCTTGGCAAGTTGACAAATATCACAAGAAAACAAACTTGGACTTTTATTAATAAATAAGTTTGGCAACAACTTCTGAAGATAAATAAAATTTGGATGACCTAGCCTACGATGCCACAGCATAACATCATCACATGAATCAAAAGGAAACATAGAGTTTTTTTCTACGAAACAGCTTCATGAGTCACATCCTCCTCAAAGTAGTAAAGTCCATCATCCTCTCTAGCACTGCCAATCATCCTCTCCGAGTCCTGTTCCTGAAAAACACAACTATATGGAAAGAATTTAGCAAAGCAATGCAACTCAGAGGTGAGCTTGCTAATGGAAATGAGATTACAAGTCAGAGAAGGAACATAAAGAACTGATGTCAAAGTAATCAGCTCAGAAAGTTTAATGGTTCCGTGTCCCGCAATCTGGGAAAAACTGCCATCGGCGATCTTGACCCGAGAAGGTTCAGAATATGGAGTGTATGAACAAAACAAGCCAAGATTACCTGTCATATGATCAGAGGCTCCAGAATCAAGGATCCAATGATTTTGACTATCAACATGGAAAGCTGTGCCTTGCTGGACCACATGACTAGTGGCCTTAGGAGGTTGAGTCAAAAGTCTCTGAAGTTGTTCAAACTGAGTCTTGCTAAGAAAGCACCATCAGAGTCAGAGGATGCATGAGGCTCATCAACCTTGTCATCAGTAGAGACCTGATATGCACGACCTTTATTTTGTCCTTTGGGCTTCCAATTTGCAGGTTTCCCGTGGATTTCCCAACATTTCTCACGGGTATGACCAATTTTATTGCAGTGGGTGCACCATGGACGACCATCCCGTTTTGATTCTCCGGAGGAACGGTCAATGGTACGGTTGGCAGCTAATGCAGACATATTATCAGACTGATCAAGCGACTCGTTTTCTCCCAGCATAACTCTCCGTCTACTGGCTTCTCGACGAACTTCAGCAAAGGCGTCAGCAAGTGAAGGTAACGGTCGCTGCCCCAATATTCGACCACGAACCTCATCAAGATCTCGATTGAGTCCGGCAAGGAAATCATACAGTCTTTCCTTCTCCAAGTGTTTTTTAAATTGGGTATTAGCTTCCAATCCCTTAAGATCAGATGCATAATAAAGATCCAATTCCTGCCATAAATTCGTCAGTGCAGTAAAATATTCAGTAACAGTCATACCCCTTTGACGAAAGTCTCTCAACTTATTTCTCAGTTCAAAAACTTGAGAGGTATTCTCCAGATCGGAGTAATTCTGTTGAACAGCATCCCAAATTTCCTTGGCAGTATCAAAGAACAGATAGGTTTGGCCAATCTGTGGTTCTATGGAATTAGTCAGCCAAGCCATGACCAAGGAATTATTAATCTCCCAATCGTCATAATCAGGAGAATT